AGGGTTTGATCTGTGAGTTAGCCATGCCCTGACTTAGATCAGCCTAGAGGTTGTTTCAGGGTTTGATCTGTGAGTTAGCCATGCCCTGACTTAGATCAGCGTAGAGGTTGTTTCAGGGTTTTATCTGTGCGTGAGTTAGCCGTGCCCTGACTTAGATCAGCCCAGAGATCGTTTCAGGATATCCATAAAATATAAGGCATCCGCACGGTTTTATGCGTGATTTACCTTACCTTACCTTACCTTTAAGTTTTCAATGGCCTGCCTCGGGTGATCAATAAAACTCTCGTAGGTAACAATACTAATGTTATCCTCCTTCAACAGGTTAGCAAGAGAGTTAGTAATGCCCGTGAAGGCATCGTTGTTCATTTGGAGGATGGCTACTCGCTGCCATTTGAATCTTTTGACGATGGCGACTCTACCAAGGTTAGAGTAATGCTCCGAGGGGTTTGTTCTGAAGTACAGAGGATATGTGGACTTGGAGGAGAGAAGAGGAGTAGCGCTTGAGAACCCAATCTGAAAAACAAGGTACGAACACTTGTTTGATCAAGAACTTTGGAAAAAAATCAATAGTTCCCTTTACAGTTCCCTGCGCCATCTTAAAAGGTAGCCGTGCTGTGCATCGAAGCGACATGAACGGTGAGCTTGTTGTAATAATAGACATGTGAATAATTTTCCGAGGTGTTAAAAAAGAAGTCTATCATAGACCTTCTTAGATAGCGAACATGCTCCGTCGTGGTCTAGCTTCGGTACAAACATCTTTTGTTTATCTTGACTTATATGGTGTCGTTTGTACCGAGAGCTAGGTCACAATGTATGATACTTTTTATCGAACTCAGTAAAGGCCTATTGCAAGCTCACCGTTCGTTTCGCTTCAATGCAAAGGCACGACTTTCAAGATGGTGCAGGGAACTACGGTGAAAAGGACTATTCTTATTCTTTGGTATAGTAGAGTTAGTTACGAAAGAAATGATTTTAAAGAGAACGTTAAGTGCAAAACAAATTATAAAATAACTGTTATAAATGTCGCGCTCTGATTGGTTTGGAGCGTGTGCTTTATGAGAGTACATTGCACGCACGCGCACTTTCCGTTGCGTCATTCCTATCTGTTATTGTAATTTGTATTTTATAAAAGAAATAAAAAAATTGCTTGCTGTGCCGTGTGCAGTAATAAAGCACTTGGGGATTGGCAGAACACTCGAGAAG